CGTGACCGACTTGACTGACTGACGGCCGAGTAACAAAACACAAGACTTGACCGACAAAGACCTAAAAAAAAAAATACATAATAAATAAATAAATAAATAAATAAAAAAGTCATGTGCGTTGGCGCCAGGCGGCTCTTGGCTTTTTCGACGAAAAGTGGCAGGTTGGGATCAAGTGTCGCATCGAGAGGCCAGACACGTGAATCCTCTTCCTCCTCTCCTCCTCCTCCTCCTCCTCCTCCTCCTCCTCCTGCTCCTCTTCCCTCCCGATACACACGCGCGCGCAGACTTACAGACAGCCGCCTTGAGCCTGCGGGCCACCAGTCCCCCACGGGGAAAAGGGGAGACATGAATGGTGCGATCCATAGTCCGCCCGTGAAACCAAGGAAATTGAAAAGCATACTAAAAAAAAAAACCAAAGAAACGAACGGGGCAGAAAATCCTTTTTGCTTAGCGTCGATGCATGGATAAAAGAACAATTTTGGCGGACGGAGGTCGAGTTCCTCCTTGTTCGACCGTCGGTCGGCCTTGCCGTGTCTTTGGATCCTTTCTTGTCTGCGCGTGTGCGTGCGTGTGCGTTCTTGTGCTGCTGCCTCTTTCGGCTCTCGTCTATGTCCTTTTTTTTTTTTTTTTTTTTTTTTTTTTTTTTTTTAACAAGACCCCGTGACCCGGTGGGTGGGCACTCCGCGGAATAGGGTAATGAGAGAAGGAGGAGCGAAATTTTAAACGCAGCATGTGCCAGACGGATCTGCTCATGCAACGCAAGATTATTCTCCGTGTCACCGCATCTCCATTTCATCCCTTCCTCATCCCTCCTTCATGCTGGCTGCTCCACACGTTCCTTGGCCTTTGGGCTTTATTTAGGCTTCAGGTGCGCGAACCCTTCGAATCCACCCCCCGTCCACCCCCGCATAGCAGAACGAATAGCAGAACGAAAAAAGCCCCGGATGACCAGCAGGTGGTGGAGCCACAGAGGGCTTTTGGCCCCGATCCTTCGCTGGCGTACGCAATGAATGGCACAAGCAAGAGTCAAGTCATTTTGGCGCGCGCTGCTGCAAAACACAACGCGGCGCCCACCCTCACGTGCCATGATTCAAAATGAATGGTGGAGTCGTCAGGTCGTCACACGATGCCCATTCTGCATAACGGTCGTGAAATGAAACTATCGCCAAAAAAGAAAACATCTCTTTTTCGACATGAGAAACGGTTGGTGGGTGGTCCCTCGGTGTGCTGTGCTGTGCTGTGCTGTGCTGTGCTGTGCTGTCGGGCCCTGATTGCTGCAAGGAAATAAAAAAAAAAAAAAGAATGAGAAAAAGAAATTGTGGTCGTCACTCACTGGTCACGGACTCTCGGCCACCGGCGTCGAGGGCCACGTTGTCGTCGTCCATGGCCGCAGCAGCAGCTGATTGATGTATGGAGGGCGCGTGGCAGGCAGATCGTAGCTGGGGCAGACACAAGTTACAACACGACGAGACAGGGCCACATATGACGCTGCTGAGATGGACGGGATGCGACGGTGTTGGGCTCGCTATTTTCACCCTTCTGGCTTCCCATGCACACAGAAGCGTTCGTGTAGGGTAGGCACACAGCCCGAAGCTTCGTGTCCCGCAGGCTGGTGAACTTTGTTGGCCAGCAAGCCAGGCACCATCACATGTCATTCTGCAACACGCGCAATGTGCGCAAAACAAAAGAGCCCGCTCCAACAACGAGGTACAAAAAGCCCACTGCTTCGATTTGTTCTATTTTCGATGCAAGACCCTGGCTAGCTCCTCACTTTGCCTCCGCGTTCTTGGCAGCAGCAGTCCCCCTCCTCCTCCTTCTCCTCCTGCTCCTCCTCCTCCTCCTCCTCCTCCTCCCCCTCCACCCCCCGCAGTACACCCTCCGCACGCAAAGCCTCAATCGTCTCCCTCGTCCATTCTTGGCACCGACGCAGGGGCTCCTTCGGAAACAGCCTCCTCCCCCCCTGGAACTGCTTCTTCGGCGGCGGCACGCCCCGGCATATGTCCTCCACGCGTGCCAAGTCACCGGCCGCGACCCGGCCGAGCAGGATTTTGCCGACGTACCCTGCGCGGCTCTCTGGCCGCTGGGCCGTCTTCTCCTTCTCGAACGTCATGCCGTTCTGTATGTTGCCCGTGACGTGGAACTTGATCCCGGCCCCAGCCCCAGTGTCGTCGTCCTCGGTTTGGACGAAGATGGCATGGTGGTTGCGGGGGGCGCCGAGAGAGGCGACTCGATAGAGGGGATACGACATCGTGTTGTGGCGCCTGTCCTGTTCGTGTCTGTTCAGACGGCCTGGGCGTGATGTTGCTATGAGGAGAGTGTTACGTACGACGGGTCAACTGCCATGCATGGCAACACAAGAAAAACTCATGTTGGACTGGGGGTCAGTCACATTACAGTCAAAATGGATTCGCGGAAGCCGAAAAAATAAAAAAAAAATCTGCCACGGCGAACAACATAAAAAAGAGAGATACATTGCAATGGTGGAGTTAAACCACCTTGACTGGACAGACGGGGAATCGAACCCCGGACCACTCCCACACCCTGTCATCTGGTGACATCGTGCTAAGGGAGTATTATACCACTAAACCATCCGCCCATTTGATTGGCTGAGTTGTTGGAAGATGTCCCGCGTCATTTGAGCTATGGAGGTCCTGCATCGTGATGTGAGCGTCGTGACCAGACCACGGACAACCGCGCGAATGAACTTTGCCTGCGCGCCCACCCCCTCCCCCCAACACTCATGTGACTGGAAATGAATTGCCCCATCGCACCACAAGCTTTGCACGTCGCGTCGATGCAGCGCCATGGTCGCTGGTGACCGCCGCCTCTGCCTGCCGGGATTCTACTTATACAGCGGCGACCTACGGGGATTGAACTCTTCAGAGGCCACCGTCCCCCGCCCCCCGTCCCGCTCCACGCGTCCGCCATGTCGGAAGACGACATCGACATGCTCGGCCCCGACGGGCCGGGGTCCTCCCGCGTCGACCGTGATCGCCGCCCCCCGCGCTTCAGCTGGACGCCCGCGTACGAGACGACCTTTTTCCGCAGCCTCTGCGCCAGTGTCCAGCTCGGCCTGCGCGAGAACAGCAGCTTCAAGGCCGAGGCCTGGGAACGGGCCGCCCAGGCGCTGCAGGAATGCCACGGCGCGTATCCCGCAAAGAGCCACCTCATCAACAAGAGCGACAATGCGCGGAAGCGGTTCCGGCTCTGGCGCGGTCTTCGCGAGGACCCCGACTTTGTCTACAATGCACTGTCCAAGACGGTGACTGCCACCGAGGAGGCTTGGAAAGCGCACATCGAGGTGGGTGTGAGAAAGAAAAAAAAAAAAAAATCATGTTTGCCGAGCACCTTGTCCAGAGCTTCAAAGAAAAATATCATCAGATGCGAGGAGAGAGGGAGAGGGGAGAGGGAGAGCGCGCGCGCGTGTGTATCATTGTATTATATGGGGGCCGGGAAGGAAGGGAGAGGAGCACAGGCGGATACTGACAGATGGACAGAGAGAGCCTCTTTCAAGAGCCCTCCGGGGCCGACCGTTCGATCATGAAGAATATATGGAGATATTGTATCCCGACGTAATAGGGTCTGGCGGTGCCCCTAAAAGGATCATGAAGCCGCGGAGGAGAACCGACGGACTACCGGGAGACGAGTCAGAGATGCCAGGAGCCGGCGTCTTACATTTACAGTCTGAGCCTCCCAGTCTTCACAATGGTCAGGACAGCTCGAGGCCAGCCCAACCGTGTGCGAGCCTGACGCCAACGGTCCCAGGTGCAGTCGCAGGACCGCAGCCCAAGCCCACGCCGACATCGTCGACCATACCGCCGGCCCCTCGGACTGCACCTCCGCAGCAATCCGCTCTGACTCCGCCAGACGAGCCCGCGGTTCACGCAAAGAAGCGGACACTACCAGCGGCCGACGACGACGGGGCTTTCGGCGCAACCTCGCCGCCGCCCTCTACAGCGCATCCCGGTCCAGCCCTGCTGTTGACAGGATCGCCGGAGAAGAGGCAGCGAACCTCCCTCGTTGACAGCTCGGCCCACCCGATGGCCGCATCCTCGAGCCACCTGCTCTCGGACGGGACTGTGTCCGAATCCCCCCCAAGTGCTGCTCCGCCCGCGATCGCACTGACCCAGAGCCCTTTCCAAGCGCCCGTGGTGGAAGAGGACCCGACCTGCGACGCGGTGCGGCCCTGCACCGTCTCCAGATGGTGCGAGATGGCGCTGGAGCAGTTCTTCAGAGACTTTGCCGACGAAAGCATGGACTTGCAGATCGAGATAGCCCAGCATGTCTTGGTCGACGAGAGCAAGGCGCTGATTTACTGCAAGATGCCCTGGCGCGTCAAGCAGCATTGGATCAAGAAACTCGGCCAAGCATTTCGAAAAGTGCCATGAATACCTCCGTGTCATTGCAGGACCTGGGCGACAACGGTTTCCCTCTTCCCTTGCATCTTATCTTTTTTCTGTCCCTTTTTTTTTTTTTTTTTTTTTTTTTTTTTTTGCGCGCTCTGCTGGACAAGGAACGTGTTGGTGCACGGAATAGCAATTTCTCGCGCGGGATTGATACCCCTTGGTTTGGATCGGCGGTCGGCGAGTGACGAGTGATTTAGGAAATCGTGATACCCGTGGGCATTGGCGTTGTTGGTCTGGGGAGCCGGATGTAACTTTATAGAGAGAATCATGTTGGCATTTTTTTTGTTGTTATTTTAGGCCGTCAACTCTCATCTCTTGTCTCTCTCTCCCTGTCTCTTCCCCCCTCTCTCTCTTGCAGGGCCGGAAACAGAAAACACGCGTGAGCCGTGCCGTTGTAGGGTAGTGAGCATCGATAAGCCCATCTAATGCTGGTCAAATGAGGCCACGTCGCGCTAGAATCGACAAAGCGCTCTTTGTTGCGGAAAAACTTGCCGTGGAGGGGGAAGAAAAAGAGAGAGGGAAGGAAGGGAGGGATGCATGTGAATGCAGTTTTGAACAAAAGAGAGGGAAATGGATAAAACGAGCGCAGTCCGCCCTCTTTACACGCACCGCATGCTGGGAAGAATCGCGCGCATGTACATACACCTACTGTACCTAGTTCGGTGGGTGAGTCGATGGGTGGGTCGACGCCTTCCTTCTCCCTTCCCAAGCAGCAGTTGCCAGTGAGCACAGCGGCCACTCTGGGCCGTGCTGGGTACGTCATCCATTGGCGGTGACGGCGCGCCGCCGCCGCCGCAGCAGCAGCAGCTGGCCAGCCGACTCCGCCAGGCGACCTAAAAAAAAACAAAAAAAAAAAGCATGGAATGGCCAAGACGACCCACCCGACCACCATTCAATTCCCCGCCAACGCAAACCACTCCTCCTCCTCTCCCTCCTCGTCACAGGTACACCGTCTCAGACAAAAGCTCTCCCTAATCGCAAATCTCTCTTCTTCTCCTTATTGGGACAAACCCTCCTCCTTATTCCAGCAATCGCACAAAAAGCAGATAACTTCAATTAGTAAGTAGACCTTGTCTTTCGACACAAAGCCCCCCTCCCCCACACACCGCAGCAAAGAAACCTGGAAGCTTACTGCCGGCGAATGCCCACAGTGTCTTACGCCGACGTCGCTGCCAGCGGTCCCAAACAGACGCCTGAGGAGGTGAGTAGAGCATCAGAAAAAAAGAAAAAGGAAAAAGGGAAAAAAAAA